TAGAAAAACATCCATAGCATACAGCTGAGGTGAAGATGGCTGTTGAAAGAATACAGTTACGTAAATGCAGGCATATATGTTGATGGAGGAGAAAATATACATCATATATTGAAGAGAATACGGAGCTGACAATGGAACTCTGGGATATGCCAATATTTAATATGAAGTCAGAATAGTTCACTTTCAAAAGGCCTTAAGGCTGGCAGGAACCCTGCAGTAGACAGTGACAACTTTAAAAATAAAATAACCAGTTGTCTCACCAGCAAAAGTTTATTCAGAAATTGTTAGAGGACTTGTAATTGGGGAAATAAATACAAGGTTTGGACCACAGGGAAATAGTGAGGACAAAGGGGAGGAGCTTGTATAGAGAAACAGAGGAGTGGGCAAGGCTGTTCTCTATGAACATTCATTGGAGGAAAGTGAGAGTTCGGCTTTCTCATTGGCTGTGCTACAGAGTTTTCCACTGGCTGAACTTGTTACCCAGCAGGAAGAACATCTCCCTTCCTCCTACCAGGGGAGCAGAGGCCCCTTCCCTTCGGAGATGGGCTTCCCTGGTGGCTCATATGGTATAGAATCTGCCTGCAATGCAGGAGACCAGGGCGTGATCCCCGGGTCGGGAAGATCCCATGGAGAAGGGAATAAGAACTCACTCCAGTATTCTTGGCTGGAGAATCCCATAGACACGGGAGCCTGGTGGCCTGGTCCATGGGATTGCATAGAGTCCGACAGGACTGAATGAGTTAACACATGCGCGCGCACACACGTGCACACACACACACACACACACACACACCTCTTGAAGCTAGGGGGACCCTCCCTTCTCGTTCAGGGTAATTGGTAGGCGTGAGAGCTCCTTTTGCTGGCCTTCCTGAGGCCAATTTTAGTTGAGGCTTAGACATTACTTTTAACCAAAGTTTTTGTAAGGGTGTAGTAAACATGTCAGCTCTTCAGGAAGGTCAAATGACATATGGATGCAGCCATTTCCGTGTATTTAGGAATCAGGGGGTGATAGAAAATCTTAGGAAAAGCAGTTTTGTTATAGTAGCACAGATGGGATCCAGATTATATTTACTTGAAGTTAGAAACATTTTTAGAACAGAATACATGCCTTCTGCTTTTCTGATATTAAGTTTCTATTTTTCATCTCTTCAGAGGATATTGTTATTGATTAAAAAATAGTTTAGGTGAATGGATTTAAATTCAAGTTCTAAGTTGAATATAATATTTAAAGAGCAAACTGAGAGTCAATTTCTATGGCTTTCCTGTTATGAGGTGCTGCCTCTCATGGGGTATTAATGTCCCTTTCCTCAGGAAGCTTGCAGAAATAACTGTGGAGTTTTAGTGGTTAAGAAGAGGTGGCAAGAATACACTGAAGAACTGTGCATAAAAGGCCTTAATGACCTGGATAACCATGATGCTGTGGTCTCTTGCCTAAAGCCAAACATCTTGAAGTATGAAGTCGAGTGGGTCATAGGAGACCTTACTATGAACAAAGCTAATGGAGGTGACAGAATTCCAGCTGAGCTATTTCAAATCCTAGAAGATGAAGCTACTATAGTGTTGCGCTCAATGAGCCAGCAAGTTTGGAAGACTGCAGTAGCCACAGGCCTGGAGAAAGTCAGTTTTCATTCCAATCTCAAAGAAGGGAAGGCCAAAGAATGTTCAAACTACTATACAGTTGCACTCATCTCACATGCTAACAAGGGAATGCTCAAAATCCTTCAAGCTAGGCTAAAATAGTACATGAACTGAAAACTACCAAATGTTCAAGCTTAATTTAGAAAAGGCAGAGGAACTAGAGGTTAAATTGCCAACATCTGTTGGATCATAGAAAAAACAAGAGAATTCCAGAAAAACATCTACTTCTGCTTCATTGACTATGCTAAAGCCTTTGTGTGGATCACAACAAATTGTGGAAAATTCTTAAAGAAATGGGAATACCAGACCACTTTATCTGCCTCCTGAGAAACTTGTATGCATATCAAGAAGCAACAGTTTGAACTGGACATGGAACAAGAGACTGGTTGAAAGTTGGGAAAGGAGTACGTCAAGGCTGTATATTGTAACCCTGTTTATTTAACTTCTATGCAGTATACATCATGCAAAATACCTGACTGAATGAAGCACAAGCTGGAATCAAGATTGCTGGGAGAGATAGCAACAGTCTCAAATATACAGATAAAACTACCCTGTTGTCAGAAAGTGAAGAGGAACTAAAGAACCTCTTGATGAAGGTGAAAGAGGAGAGTGATAAAGCTGGCTTAAAAGTCAACATTCAAAACGCTAAGAACATGGCATCCAGTCCCATCAATTCATGGCAAAAAGAAGGGGAAAACGTTGAAACAGTGGCAGATTTTATTTTCTTGGGCTCCATAATCACTGCAGATGGTGACTGCAGCTATGAAATTGAAAGTCACTTGCTGCTTGGAAGAAAAGCTATGACAAACCTTGACAGCATGTTAAAAAGAGAGATATAACTTTGCTGACAAAGGTCTGTGTATAGTCAAAGCAATGGTTTTTCTAGTAGTCATGTGTGGATGTGAGAGCTGGACCATAAAGAAGGCTGAGTGCTGAAGAATTTGATTTAATTGTGGTGCTGGAGAAGACTCTTGAGAGTCCCTTGGACAGCAAGGAGATCAAACCAGTTGATCCTAAAGGAAATCAACCCTGAATATTCATTGAAAAAACTGATGCCTGATGCTTAAGCTGGAGCTCCAATACTTTGGCCACCTGATGGGAAAAGCTGAGTCATTAGAAATGACCCTGATTCTGGGAAAGATTGAAGGTATTAGGAGAAGGAGGCAACAGAGGATGAGATGGTTGGATGGCATCACTGACTCAATGGACATGAGTTAGAGCAAACTCTAGGAGATAGTGAAGAACAGGGAAGCCTGCTCTGTTGCAGTCCATGGTGTTGCAGAGTTGGACATGACTTAGCAAGTGAACAACTTCTGAAAGGGTTTGACTTATTCTCTACCCATATCCCTGATAGGAACCAAGAATGCTATTATTCCTGTTAAGAGTACTATGCTATTTCCAGGTTTTTAAGGAATCTCCACACTGTTCTCCATAGTGGGCTGTATTAGTTTGCATTCCCACAAGGAATCTCCACACTGTTCTCCTTAGTGGGCTGTATTAGTTTGCATTCCCACCAACAGTGTAAGAGGCTTCCCTTTTCTCCACACCCTCTCCGGCATTTATTGCTTGTAGACTTTTGGTTAGCAGTCATTCTGACTGGTGTGTAATGGTACCTCATTGAGGTTTTGATTTGCATTTCTCTGATCATGAGTGATGTTGAGCACCTTTTCATGTGTTTGTTAGCCATCTGTATGTCTTCTTTGGAGAAATGTCTGTTTAGATCTTTGGCCCATATGACCCAGCAATCCCACTCCTGGGCATACACACCGAGGAAACCAGATCTGAAAGAGACACGTGCACCCCAATGTTCATCGCAGCACTGTTTATAATAGCCAGGACATGGAAGCAACCTAGATGCCCATCAGCAGATGAATGGATAAGGAAGCTGTGGTACATATACACTATGGAATATTACTCAGCCATTAAAAAGAATTCATTTGAATCAGTTCTAATGAGACGGATGAAACTGGAGCCCATTATACAGAGTGAAGTAAGCCAGAAAGATAAAGACCAATACAGTATACTAATGCATATATATGGAATCTTAAAAGATGGTAATGATAACCTTATATGCAAAACAGAAAAAGAGACACAGATGTACAGAATAGACTTTAAGACTCTGTGGGAGAAGGCGAGGGTGGGATGTTCAGAGAGAACAGCATTGAAACAAGTATACTATCAAGGGTGAAACAGATCACCAGCCCAGGTTGGATTCATGAGACAAGTGCTCAGGGCTGGTGCACTGGGAAGACCCAGAGGGATGGGATGGGGAGGTAGGTGGGAGGGGGAATCGGGAAGGGGAACACATGTAAATCCATGGCTGATTCATGTCAGTGTATGGCAAAAACCACTACAATTTGTAAAGTAATTAGCCTCCAAATAATAAAAATAAATGAAAAATTAAAAAAAAAAGAGTACTATGCTGTAATTTGTGTGACAGTTGGCCAGGATTATTTTATTAGTTTCCTGATTGATCAACTTAGGGCAGCTGTCACCTTTGAAATTTGACCATAGACATTTTTCTTTTACTCCAGTGTTTTTCCAAGCAAATTTATTGTGGAATCCTGAGAGTAAATAGAGGTTGCTGCCCTACACATGATTAGTATCTGGCGCAATAGTGTCATAAGTAGGAATTGTCAGTGGTGTGTTATTGTCTGAAAAACATAATTTAAACATGCCTACATCTGTGTTAGGAAACTTATCTGGTTTCTGTGGGCTAATTCTTCTGGACTTTCTGGAAAGATCTAAGATTGAGCTAACACAACCCATTGGATTTGATGATTGTATCATTGTTAATTACTTGGAAAGTTCCTCACAAAATGTGGGCCAAACGCAGAATGAGAGCAATGGCCAGTAAAATAGTGAGCTTTCTAAAACAAAACAAAACATAAAGCAAACTGCATAAAAAAACCTGCATATATTCTATTTTGTGGTCAAACTAACCTGATCTAATAGATTCTCTGAGTACTTTTATTTTTCCCTTTCCTGTTGGCCAATATTTCAAAGTTCTGCATTTAAAATCAAAGAACACTTTTAAAATCTCAGGCTGCAAATGATCAGATGTATAAGTGTTAGTTTACAGAAACCAATCTAATTTTCTAGGTGGTTAGAACTTTCAATGTTGGTAAGTCAGGCCCTTAAAAGGCTGGTGAGAAGAACAATGGTGCGGGTAATGAAGAACGATGTGAAGGCAGGAATTTTGAAGACAGGAAATGCAAAATCCAAGAGCTCTTTCATATCAGTTCTGATACTTTTAACAATTCTAAGTTATTTGTTTCTCATTTTGGATAAAGATTACATGATATTAAGCATATCACTGAGTTCAAGTAACATTGCTTCCTTTTCCTTTCTTTCTTGAGCAGGTTGTGAAGTTACTAAGCAACAAAAGGTCTCAAGCAGTTGGAATATTGATGTCTAGCCTTCACTTAGATATGAAAGATATACAACATGGTAAGTGAAATATGGGCTTCCCCTCTGGCTCAGCAGGTAAAGAATCTACCTGCAATGCAGGAGACAGTCTGCAAAGTAGGAAACAAGAGTTCTATCCCTGGGTTGGGAAGACCCCCTGGAGAAGGAAATGACAACCCACTCCAGTATTCTTGCCTGGGAAATCCCATGGACAAAGGAGCCTGGTGAGCTACAGTCCAGGTGGTCACAAGTGTCAGACGCAACTTAGTGACTAAAACATCACCAAGTGAGAATTAAAATTTCAGCTTTTGAATACTCAAATTTAGGCTGAAGTGGAAAAATTATTTCATACTTAGATTTTTTGTATGTATTGAGATTAATGTGTTTCCTCTGAGTGCTACCAAACTTTCTGCCATGATTGTTTCTAAATGGGTTATGGGTAATTTGACTCTTGTGTTATTTCTCTGTCTTCTTAAGAGCCTAATTCTCATGTGACATGCTTAGTCTGCATTAGTGAGTACTTAACTTTTGATTCATAAGAAATGCTAGTCCCACCGTGCTCTGCTCCTGTTGGATTGCTCCATGTCATGTCCGAAAAAGGACTGGTGAACACTCCTGAGATCCAGGTGTGGGCTGCGTGTCAGCCCCTGACAGTACCTGGGGAGGATGGTCCAAAGGAGAGGAAAATCTCTGAGGGTGAGCAAAAGATGTTTGCTGAGCTAACACAGCGAAGAGGAAGTAAACCTAAGACTTTCTAATAGATCAGCTAAAACCAGTGTAGGAGTTACAGGAAAGCATCTTTAGATTGTTGTTTTTTAAATGGTCTTATGATTGGAGATGTCAAAGAGTAGACTGGATTGCCATATGTAGTGATTAAACGAAAACTCAGAGCTGTTCAAGAGACTACATGACCATTTGTCTCAGATGTCCATAAAGCAAAGAGGGGGTGATGGGGTGATGGGGTGTGTTCTCTTCCTCCTCTGGTTCTGATAGGCTATGAGATGCTGAAGGAATCACTAAAGCAGCTTTATTATGTATAACTTTTTAGTGTGGACAAGTGGTCCCTCTTTTTTCAATTCCTTGGATAACTAGAATGTAACCCCTAGGCTTCTCTACCCGTGTTATTTTTTCTAGTATCCAAGAAAGATAGTTTCAAATTACTCTTGGCCACTTATATATTGTTGGTTATCCAGACCCATGGAAACAGTGATATGGTAACCTTTTGTTATTTCTTTAATGGTGTTGTTTTAATTTACATCTTTAACCAGGCTTATAAAATATTCTCTATATTTGGAATTAGGCTGGCTTTTACCATTTTAAAATGGTTTTTGTGTCAGTGTTTTAATACTTGACTCTACTTTGCTTTAGACAAATATCCTTATTGATATCATTCTATCATGTTGTGCTGAAAGATACTGCCCAAGGTGAATAAGGGAGTTAAATTTATTCAAATGTCCCTTGAGCTGTTCTGAGCCTTAGAGTAGATTTAAAGCAGATTAAATTTTCCAATGGAATGCCAGTTTACCTGTTAACAAAAGACAGTTTATAAATTGTGAAAAGATTTACTTGGCTTTCCAGCTTACCACTTTATGTATATGGATTCTATTTGGTTGGCTTAAAATAATGTGTGGAGTAACTCATAAATAGCACAAGCTTGGCATGCCCTGTCACTAGAGGAGTAGCTCAACCATAATTTAAATTTTTATTAAACTGCTTTGATGGTGAGGAGAGTTTCTCAAGCTGAAGCATTGGAGGCCATTGTCATGGAACAGGATGCAAAGGCAGATGCCAGGAAGTATTAGGTTGGTGCAAATGTAGTTGCAGTTTGGGACCATGAATTTTAAATCATTATAACTAGGCTCAAACACATCTTTGTTAATCAAAATAGGAGCCATTATAATTAACACATTTGTGCCATCGAGAAATAAATTTGTTTATTCCTATAGTGTAAAAATCTGTGCTTCAGGATTCAATGAACTGTTGGAAAGCATTTTCTGCTTCCTGCTCTTTGTGGAAGTGTTTTCCTTGCAAAAAGTTGTTGAGATGCTTAAAGAAGTGGTAATCAGTTGGCAAGAGGTCAGGTGAATACAGCAGATGAGGCAAAACTTCACAGCCCAATTCCTTCAACTTCTGAAGCATTGGTTGTGTGACCTGCAGTCGGGTGTTGTCGTAGAGAACTGGGCCCTTTCTGTTGATTAATGCTGGCTGCAGGCCTTGAAGTTTTCAGTGCAGCTCACCAATTGGCTGAGCATACTTCTCAAATGTAATGATTTTGCTGGGATTCACAAAGCTGTAGTGGATCAGACTGGTAGCAGACCACCAAACAGTGACCATGACCCTTTTTTGGTGCATGTTTGACTTTTGGAAGTGCTTAGAAATTTCTTCTTGGTCCATCCACTGAGCTGGTTGTCACCAGCTGTCGTATAAAATCCACATGTCACAATCTGATCAAGAAATGGTTTGTTTTTGTTGTGTAGAATAAGAGAAAATGACACTTCAAAGTGACAGTTTTTTGATTTGTGGTCAGCTCATGAGGCACGCAATGGCATCACTAACTTGATGGACTTGAGTTTGAGCTCCAGGAGATGGTAAAGGACAGGGAGGCCTGGCATGATGCAGCCCATGGGGTCGCAGAGAGTCGGACAGAACTGAGCAACTGAGCGGCAACATGAGGCCCCCACTTGCCAAGCTTTTCCACCTTTCCCTTTTGCTTCAAATGCTGCACAGCGGTAGAGTGGTTGACGGTGAGTTCTTCAGCAGCGTCTCGTGTGGTTTTGTAGGAGAGTCAGCTTTGATAGGGCTCTCAAGTGGTCCTCGTCAACTTGTAACGGCTGGCCACTGTACTTCTCATCTTCAAGGCTCTCGTCTCCTTTGCAGCGCTTCTTGAACCACCACTGAACTGTATTAGTAGTTCCTGGGCCACATGAGTTGTTGATGTTATAAGTTGTCTCCACTGCTTTATAGCCCACTATTTACTCAATAGGAAAATCACTTGAAATTGCTTTTTGTCTAACATCATTTCCCTAGTCTAAAATAAGTACAAAATAAACAGCAAGTAGTAAGTCATTAGCAAAGAAACATAAAAGTGAAAAATGTGCACTAAGATGATGTGTGTGTATATATATATATATACACACACACATATATATTCATAACCATAATTTATTTAAGAGAAATAAGATAAACAGAGCCATATTTATTTAAGAATGTATTCTAATACCAAATGGCGAATTTCAACAGTGCAAAAACTTCAATTACTTTTGTGTGTGTGTGTGTGTGTGTGTAGCGGAGTTTTGTTACAGTGAAGAAGGGCAGAGAAAGCTTCTAACATAGACATCAGAAGTGGGTAGGGAGTGCCTCCTTGCAAGTCTTTAGCAAGGGAGCTATATACTTTTTAAATTAGTTATTACAATAAATCAAAAGAATGTCTCAAGATTGTAAAAATTTTATCAGACCCACTCTCACAATTTATGTTTTAAGATAACAGGATTATTCAGAAAGTTTTAGGAAGGAGAAACTGTTCTCAAGCAGTTATATATATGTTGTTTTATAATCTTTAGTACAGAGTCTAAGCTGAGTTGTGTTGTTGCTTAATCATTAGTTCAGGGCTTAAAGGAAAAAAGTTTTATGTGACTAAGACTAAGGAATGTAGAGGGAAAAAAAAAAGACGTTTGTCCTTTCCTCTTCCTTGAGAATTGCAGACCCCTCTCTCCTCCTCAGGGGCCCTGGACTTCTTAGCAACCTGCCTAAGAATTGACTCTCATCCCCCCCTTTTCTTTTAGGAACATTGTGTTGCCAGGGGAAAGGGGCGTCATTTTCATTCCATAACTACTTCCTGCTGTGATGGGCTGCTATCCCTAAATTGTTGAGGCAATGTATTCTCTTAAACCTCATATTGAGGGTCTCCAATCCAGGGGCCCCAAATAATAGTTGAAGGAAGCTGTGGCACTCTAGGAGCCTGGACAACCATTTGTAACTTAAAAGCTTTCATAAGGTTAAAAACAAATGCAGGTACACAGTTACAGATGCAGAGAGCAAGCAGTAAAAACAGAACAGTTAGAATGATTATGATTAAGACAGTTTTCCACCATGGGGGGCTAGTTAACATTTCCCAAAGTGAGGCAACTGAGGCTTCAGGAGAATCCATAGCCTGAATCATCTTGTTCATGTGTTTAGTAAAGTGAGTAACATTAGCACTCATATCTGGTATAGAGTACATCATTAGAAACACTGGGCTAGAAGAAGCCCAAGCTGGAATCAAGATTGCCAGGAGAAATACCAGTAACCTCAGATATGCAGATGACACCATCCTTATGGCAGAAAATGAAGAAGAACTAAAGAGCCTCTTGATGAAAGGGAAAGAGAAGAGTGAAAAAGTTAGCTTAAAATTCAGCATTCAGAAAACAGATCATGGCATCTGGTCCCATCACTTCATGGCAAATCGATGGGAAAACAATGGAAGCAGTGAGAGACTTTATTTTGGGGGGCTCCAAAATCACTGCATGGTAACTGCAGCCATGAAACTAAAAGACGCTTGCTCCTTGGAAGAAAAGTTATGACCAATCTAGACAGCATATTAAAAAGCAGAGACATTACTTTGTCAACAAAAGTCCGTCTGGTCAAGGCTATGGTTTTTCCAGTGGTCATGTATGGATGTGAGAGTTGGGCTATAAAGAAAGCTGAGCACTGAAGAATTGATGCTTTTGAACTGTGGTGTTGGAGAAGACTCTTGAGAGTCTCTTGGACTGCAAGGAGATTCAACCAGTCCATCCTAAAGGAAGTCAATCCTGAATATTCTTTTGAAGGACTGATGCTGTAGCTGAAACTCCAATACTTTGGCCACCTGATGCAAAGACCTGACTCATTTGAAAAGACCCAGATGCTGGAAAAGATTGAGGGCAGGAGGAGAAGGTGATGACAGAGGATGAGATGGTTGGATGGCATCACCGACTCGATGGACATGAGTTTGGGTGAACTCCAGGAGTTGGTGATGGACAGGGAGGCCTGGTGTGCTGCAGTTCATGGAGTCGCAAAGAGTCGGA